TTCTGGGACTAGGTCCCTTTAAAATAACAGTATTGTTCATATAAATTAACCATAATTGTGGCCCAAAGGCTTATTAAAATGAATAATAACAAAATACTAGTAATAAATTAAGTATTAATTAAGCTCTTAGGATAAATTAACGAGAACAGTTGGGTAATAGGGGTTCAGTACTACAATATTGGAGCTAAAATAATAGCATAATAATCACTGAATGAGATTAGAAAGGAACGTAAAGTAAATTTTATAGACAAAGAACTGTAGTGATGGAATATAGAAATTAAAAAAATAATAATAACTGTTTATATGTAAGGAAAGAAATTGTAAAAACAAAAACAAAAAAAAAAATGTTCCCTAAGATATTTGAGTGATTATGCGTAAAGATTAGGAGAAGAAAAAATAAAATAAAGTATATATATATATATATATATATATATATATATATATATATATATATATATATATATATATATATATATATATATATACACTTAGCGAGAAATATGTTGAGGATAATTAGAAAATAAAATACATTTCACCGAAATACAATTTCATGAATAAAAAATTTTATCTACTCACAATGCTTAGTGAGTGGTGATGAAAATTCACTTTCAACACAGAATAAAACAATAAAAAATAAGGAAAAAAAATAATGTCTAAAGAAAATTTAAGCCTTATTACATAGTATGGATTTAACCAGCGTCTGATTGGATCGTGAAGAGGAATTGGAATAAGAGGGTTTTAAAGGTGGATAAGGATGATGCACGGCGGATTTTTAGTGAGATGGAATTCCAGAATGCAGTGGAACGGACAACGAAGGAATGTTTAAATGATATGCAGATCTATGGAAAGGGGTATAAAGGTCAGAAGGACGAGATCTTGTGGGTGTGGATAGATGATTTGAATTGTAGGAGATTGTATGCGTGGGATGGACGATGACTATTGATTATTTATTAAAGGAATGTGCCTAGGAAATATTGTCTTAAAAAGGAGGGAAGAGCCATCCTATTTTCAACTTTTCAACAGAATTTGTGGAAAAGATTTAGAGCAACATATATTGTCACTAAATCGTCCTATTTAAACTATTCTTTTTTGTTCATTAGGATATTTCCAAACAGTTATACATCTAAAGCAACATTAACTTCCTAGTTACAAAGAAAAATTAATAAAAGGTGATTCCAATTATTGGACTAAGCATTTTCTTTAATCATTAGTAATTTGATAAAAAAGTTAGCATTACTTCGGTAACACATTCAAAAATTAAAAACAAAAACAAAGGAACAGAAAAATCAACTGATGATTCGGTGCAGAAATATAAAGTTTTAAACATTCAGTGATTTTTTTTTTTTTTAATTTAGAGAAATCACTTCTCACACGGACAATTATATATATATATATATATATATATATATTGCGTGTTTTAGAGTAGGAAAACCATAAAATCTCTATATCTTTACAAACAATTGAACAACAATAAATATTGTATATCTAGATATATTACGAATTTATATATATTACAAACATATCCCCTATTAGAATTAACTAGAAACATATCTACATTTGAGGATTAGAAACATATCTATATTTAAGAACAAATCACCATCTGTTGAAAAAAAATAATAAACCGAAGAAAAATAGTACATTAGGACATGCTCTTCTGTTTTTCTTTTTCTATATGTATAAAAACATCTTTCTATAAGGGTTTATACTTGGCCATAGCTATTAAACTTTTTTGAATATTTTCACAATTGTTGTAAATCATAAATATAAACTAAGATATCTGGGTTCAGATAAAAATAATTATGGTAATGAGGGCAGTTTTCGTAGTTCCGTTGGGCTTCTTTCCGCTCACATTTAGTATTTTCAAAAAGTGTCCTATTTATTTTGTATTGCTTTAGAGTTTATAGCTTTATTGTAACTATCTTATGCTCGCTTTCAATGTTCCATATACCCTAAACCGTTATATTCTCTAAAATATTTACCTTTTTTAATTTTTTTTATTATCTTTCTCTTTAATTACTACACTTCCTTTAGGTAAATTTAAAGTAAAAAGTAATTTACAGCCCTTTATACTCGAGGAGTCTTAAAAGGCTTTAAGGAAGAAGGGAGGTAAATGGTACTGTGCATTTAGTCACGCGACTTCAGCTCTCAGTTAACGTTTCTAGCTGACAGTTCCTGGTTGGGGGTATTGCCCTATACATTAGCCCTTGGAACGTAATTACATATTTAATTTTATTATTATACACTATAATCACGTATTATATATTTATTTATATATATATAGACAGATAGAAAGTTAAAGTAAACCTTACTCTGGGACAAAGTTCTCTCATAATAACAATGATGAACACATACAAAAATTACATATCTGGCCAAAAAACTACCTTTATAAAAATTCTAACAATATACACAGTAATTTAAATGATAAATAATATATATATATATATATATATATATATAGAGAGAGAGAGAGAGAGAGGGAGAGAGAGAGAGAAAGAAAAATCCGGAGAATAGAAAAAATTAACAAACGTAAGTAAAGAAAAAGCATTGATTTTTGATGTTATAAACATAAACAATAGACTAACTTAGTAAAAATTGTAATAATATACAGAGTAATTAAAAAAATAATCTGTGAATTTTTTTTCTAACATTTATTTGTTTAATCAACACCTGTCACATGCTGTAACAATAACCGCATGTGATCTTTATTAACAGAACTGGCAAGTCAGACATGAGGCAGTTTGGTATCCAACTTACTCCTAACTTGAAATAAAAAATAAAATAAAAAAAACTTAATCCTGGAGATCCCTTAACCAGCTCCTTTTCAGCCTTTGTCGGGCGTTTTATGGCATATGTCTTGAGGTCATATTTTCTATAAGTATGTTGGTAAAGTTTGGCATGGAATATTTTATACGATGTCCGAATGTGATCTTGTAACATCAGTATGTGTAGGTCTGGATGTAAAAACTAATAATTAAAATTATAATCTTCTCAATAATAGTTATATTATAGTTGTAATGTGAGTAAATAAAACAAAAAAAATATATTGTATGTATACAGAAAGAAAAACAAAATCTGGCGAAACGAAAAAATAACAAAAGTAAGTAAAGAAGAATCTATATATATATATATATATATATATATATATATATATATATATATATATATATATATATATATACAGAAAGAAAGAAAAACAAAATCTGGCGAAACGAAAAAATAACAAAAGTAAGTAAAGAAGAATCTATATATATATATATATATATATATATATATATATATATATATATATATATATATATATATATATATATATATATATATTATACATACACATACATATATATGTATGTTGTACATTATTATTTACGTGGATATTGGGTGGATGGAGACGAAAATTAGAAGGACATACATGAACTGGTTAAGTCATCCATATATTGCATTTAACAAAATATGATTATTACTTGTATGGCTTATTGGATTTTTTCGTGATTTTTTTAAGCAATAGTTTTTAGCTTACATATCTTTAACTTATTATATTTTTTCTTGTATGTATTTTTGATTATTATTTTGTTTTGTTCAATTTATGTTTTCTATATATGGTTTGAATGTGTCCTTAGCTCACTATAATTATTCTTCGTGTGTCAGATGTTGAATTACTGAATAAATAAATAAAAAGTTATACTTCTCGTTGCTAAAATTGTATAATTGTAATTTACATATATACTGTAGTTGTGGTTGTATTATTTTTTATCAATATAAAATAAACAGAACAAAACCACAGTTTAGTCAAAATCTATATTATACCTCGCATTTTATATTATTATGTAATTGTAATTATTCGTATTACTAATTCGTAACCATAATAAGGAAAAAATATTCCGGAAAGAATAAGTGTGGTGCCTTTGTTACGGTCCGTCCCACTTGTATATGTAAAATAAAATACGATGCGTCCTCTACAAACTGTTGTATGCAATAGAGAGAAATGAGTTTTAATTGAATATAACCATAAAATATTGAAGTGTGTTGAAATAGACTTGCCCTCTCCCCTCCCCTAGTGCCGAGATTATTATATTATATAAGATTTATGTCTCTTTTCTACTTTAAGCACACCAGTAACTATCTGTTAAGCACACCAGTAACTATCGCCCTAAAATTAAATTCCCTCCGGACAAAATCATGCCGCAAATCAGAGATACAACTCCAACATATCTTGTTGCTAAACGATTAGATCAAGAAGACTTTAAAAAAACCTCTCCATTTTTTATTCAAAAGGTGATCGCTCAGTTAGCAGGTGATGTTAAAGCAGTAAAAAAGTTAAGAGACGGTTGTTTATTGATACAAACACTCAATGGACAACAATCAAACAGACTTTTATCCGTTACAGACTTTGGAGGCCAAATGAAAGTTGAAATAACACCGCATAAAACTTTGAACTATAGTAAGGGCGTTATCCGTTGCTATGACTTCCAATACATGGATCTACAGGAAATAAAGAACGAATTAACTCCGGTAATAAAAGATATTGTCAGGATAAAATCAAAACGGAATGGTAATGAAATACTTACACATAACTATATAGTTACCTTTCCAACACCTTTACCTCCAGAAACATTACAAATTGGATACGAAACAGTTAGAGTACAGCCTTACGTACCGAATCCGTTACGATGTTTTAACTGCCTAGGATTCTCTCATCCGACATCACAATGCAAAAAAGAATCAGTATGCGTACAATGCGGCCAGGGAAGGCATGGAGAAAATATAAGGTGTAATTTGCCGGCTAAATGCATAAATTGCAATGGTCCTCATAATGCCCTAGATCGGTCCTGTACCGAGTTTAAAATACAAAAGGAAATAAAAGCCATACAAATCAATAATAAAATATCACTTTACGAAGCAAAAAACATGTATAGAGAAAAAAATCCCATCCAGTTAAATAAAACATTCGCGGAAATAGCAAAAAATCAAAATAATACAAACAGAAAAGTAGATGTTGCCACTCAGGCTGATATTCTGTAGTCTTTCTCAGTTACTTCAACAAACTCACAGATAAATAAACCCAATGAGATTATCTCTCCTGATGTCCAGGCCACACCAGCTATCTCTGATCGAGAGACTGCTCGACCACAGTCAACCGAAGTTGGCAGCCCCGCGCCTACCCAGACTGATCCCCTCCTCCCCTCCTCTTCTTCCCACTCATCTACCCTCCCTGCCTCTACTTCCTCTCTCTCCTCCTCCTCTTCGTCTTTCCCTTCTGCCCCTCTCCCCAACTCTTCCTCCCTCTCTTCTCCTACCCTCTCCACCTCCCTTACAAATCTCCAATCCCCCAATCCCGATCTCGCTACACCACCAGACGATAAATCTGCTGAAAATGCTGTAGATGGGGAAGGATATACCCTACAAAAGAAAAAAGGAAGACCCCGAAAAAAATCCCCAAATAAAACAAATAATAAATAAAATAGCCGACAACTAAATTACAAATATCATCTTCAAATATGTTAATATATGTTTTTTCTATTCTATACCGTAACTAAATCATGACCCTAATCCAGTGGAATTGCAACGGTATTAAAAGTCACTTCAACGATTTGAAGCTAATAATGGAAGATGAAGATCCTTTTTGTATATGCCTCCAAGAAACGCACCTAAAGCCTTCAAACGAATTCACCCTTAAAGGCTTCAATATCTATAGGACAGATTGTGGTCCAGATTACGAGCGAGCGTGTAGAGGCGTAGCCATAGCCGTAAAAGATACCGTTTATTCCCACCCAATAGAAATAGATTCCCCACTTCAAGTAATAGCTGTTACAGTTCATTTAAACACAACATTCACAATTTGCAACATTTATCTCCCCCAAGACAATACTATAGAGACAGAACACCTTCTCCATATTCATAGGCAGTTGACAAAGCCAATTTTGTACACTGGAGATTTCAATGGCCACAACCCATTATGGGGCTCACAAGACACAAATCCTAGAGGTCGCATTATAGAAACTTTCTTAGATTTAACGAATACTCTGTTACTAAACTCCGGCGAAGCAACATACGTAAGTTCTAGCTTTGGTACATTTTCATCCATTGATCTCTCCTTATGCACTTACTCACTGATTGATAATATAGAATGGACAGTTCTACCAGAGCCTTATGGAAGTGACCATTTCCCAATTCGTCTAAAATTCAGAAGTGCAAACTGCAATAATTACAGCGTCCCTCGTTGGCTATTAGAAAAAGCAGATTGGTCACTATTCACGTCTTTAGCTGTCCCACCTCAAAATCACCCTAACAGTATGAATGTAGATGATGGGTGTAAATCTATAACTGAGACAATAGTTACGGCAGCAGAGTTCTCGATCCCTAAAACCAAAGGCCATTACAAAAGGACACCTGTCCCCTGGTTCGATAGTGATTGCAAGAAAGCCATACAACTTCGGAGAAATGCATTTAAGACATTTAAGAAAAATATGAATCAGGTTAATCACATTGAATATAAAAAACAAAGAGCTGTTTGCAGAAGAATTATAAATGACAAGAAAAAAGAATCATGGAAATCATTTGTTGAGTCCATTAACTCGTCTACCCCCTGCAACGTTGTATGGAACAAAATAAGGAAGATAAGAGGAACCAATTCTTCCTACAAATATACTCTGATATGCGATGGAAAACTATGCGATAACCCAGACATTGTTGGAAGAACATTTGCCGAATATTACTCAGAAGTTTACACAACGACTTCTAGAAATAATATGGCTCAAGATCTAAACTTCTCTGACGATAATGCATATCAAGATTACAACATTCCATTCAGCATGTGGGAACTCCAATCAATACTCCAAACTGTCAAAGGATCTTCACCAGGACCAGATAATATACACTACTCCATGATACAACATCTTCCGAAAAATACACTGAACTGGCTTTTAAATTTTTACAATCATATTTGGCTTAGCGGTAACTTCCCTAGCAGCTGGAACGACTCTATAGTTGTCCCGATATTGAAGGGTAGTCAAGATAAACGTCATCCATCCAGCTACCGACCAATATTTTTAACCAGCTGTCTATGCAAAGTAATGGAACGAATGGTAAACAAGAGACTCACATGGATCCTAGAAAAATATCATCTCATCCAAAACTTCCAATGTGGTTTTCGCAAAGGCAGATCAACTGTAGACCACCTGGTTCAAATGGAAGCCGAATTACAGTATGCATTCATCCAAGAGGAGCAAGCTATTGCAGTTTACTTCGATATGAAAAAAGCCTTCGATAAAACTGACAAATTTGCTATCCTAAACAAAATACACTCGCTAGGATTCAGAGGTAACTTACCAAAATTTATTCAAGGATTCCTTTCTAGTCGCCGCTTTCGCGTCCGTATAGGGAAACTGTTATCCAAGCAATGTAGACAAGTGAGTGGAGTACCACAAGGATGCGTTTTAAGTACAACACTTTTCGCACTTGCGGTTAGTGACTTGGGAAAAAATCTTCCACGCGGAATCAAAGTAATGCTCTTTGTCGACGATCTTGCTATTCTATACAGAGCGAAAGATGTCCTATCTGTAAAAGATAAGCTCCAAGAAGCACTGAATCGTATTGATGGCTGGTCAAAGTCATCGGGACTTTGTTTCTCTTCTGAAAAAACTAAATGTATTCACTATAGCAGAAAACGAAATACTCCACAATCGCCAGAACTTCTCTTAGGTGACGCCATCTTACCATATGTCAACACCTGCAGATTCTTGGGATTATTATTTGATAAACGTCTATCCTGGGAACACCACATAAAATCACTCAAAGATACATGTACTAAAAAACTTCAGCTTCTGAGAATACTTAGTGGAACTAACTGGGGAGCAGACAGAACTACCATGATTAAAGTATACCAAGCTCTGATCGGCGCAAAAATAGATTATGGTAGTTTTGTCTACGGTTCTGCCCGAAAAAATGCTCTAGCCAAGCTCGACTCCGTGCACCACACTGGAATACGCCTTGCAACTGGAGCCTTTAGAACAAGCCCAACCCTGAGCATTTGTGTCGAATCTGGCCTTATACCACTGCACTTTAGAAGACAGAAACTTGCAATAAACTATATTACTAAATTATACCCGCAAACTTCACACCCCTCCCATAAATATGTTTTTCAATCTAAATTCTCAAAAAGATTTAAAGAAAAAAGGAATACCACATTACCATTGGCAGAAAGAATGTCTCTTATTATAAATAAACTAAAACAAATAACATTACATGAAATAGAAAAAGAAACAGCCCCTTGGACCTATATACAACCTAAATTAAATCTCCAACTCACCCAATTCACCAAAGATACTACATTACCTGCAGATTACAAAGAAAAATTCCACAAAATAATCATCACGTTACCTGAACATCTTCTAATATTCACCGACGGATCCAAATCAGATACATCTACTGCTTCAGCCTTTGTCACTCCTGATACTACCTACAAATATAAATTACACCATCTTTGTAGTGTTTACACAGCAGAGATTAACGCCGTAGCAATGAGTCTCCGATACGTCATGAAGAAGCCAGTTGCAAATGTGGTTGTTGTATCGGATTCCCTAAGTACTCTGAAAGCTATGAATAACATGTATCCAGACCATCCAGGGATACACTGCATTCTAAGTCTTATAAAAATGCTTCATGGAGTTGGAACAACGGCACATTTTATCTGGTCGCCTGGCCATATAGGAATTAAAGGAAATGAAATGGCTGATAGAGCAGCAAAGGAGGCTCTTACTCTTCCAGGCCGCGGTAAAGTTTTTTTGACACCATCTGAACTTGCACGACCTCTGAGAGAAACCATATTCCAAGAATGGCAAAGACGGTGGGACAACAGCGCACCTAGCAAATTAAAAACAATAAAGAAAGAGGTGCAACCGTGGACCAGCTCCAAACGCAGCAGTCGTAGAGAAGAGGTCGTCCTCACGCGGCTGAGGATCGGACATACTAGACTGACTCACCTCCACCTCATAACAAAAGATTCTATCCCTCGATGTCAAAAGTGTAACCAATCACTAACTATAAGACATATTTTGGAGGAATGCCCTTTTTACACCGCAAGATTAGAAGATTTTGGAATACCCCGGAATATATCAGCGTCCCTGGGAAATCAGGAAGAAATGGTTACCAAAGTCATCAAGTTTATGGATAGTGAAAGACTTAAAAAACACATTTGACAGACTTTTTTTTTAAATTTATTAATTTCCTTTTTATCTATTTATTTTTATTATATTTTCTCTCTCTTTTTTTTTTTTTTTTTTTTTTTTTTTTATTGATTCTACTGCTATTTTTTAAAGTTTATTTATTTATACATTTTTTATACATCTTATTACCTATAAATGTCTATTATTATCCTTATTTATTTATTTTATTCTATCAATCCATTTCTTTATTTTTGTTGTCCTTTTTTTTTATTTTTATTTTTTGTACCAATCATCCAAATAGTATTAAGTGATGTTATTTAGTTGATCGGGCGCTTATGACCTGGATGTTTTGCGCCTAGACATCGAAACAAACAAACAAACTATCTGTTTCTCTTCACGCCTCTCATAACACCGGACCGCGTTAAGATATAATTTTGAATAATAGCTCATTGCAAAGTAGATGAAACACTGAGTATCTTCCTTGCTTACGGTATGCTGATCCAATTTTAATTTTCTAAGATATTTTAATCCAAATGCAAAACCACTTTAAAAATTCACTGGTTTGCTCAAAGTAGAAAATAACCAAATTTATTATTATTGTATTCTCTGTAATATAATTTTTTTTCAACTTTATTTTTCCATTCACACCTGTCAGAAGCTCCGAAAACCAGCGAGAGTGATGGCACGATTTAGAAGATTGTAATAGGCGTGAGGGAGAGGAGTGCCCAGCGGCGTCCTTCCTGTCTTGGTTTCAATATTAGCATTTTATGAAGATCCTCATCCAGCTTCTTTTGAGGCTCCTTTGTGCTGGATGAGTTCCTCGTTTATCCAGAACAAATCCTAAAATCTCCAACTTACTTTTTAAAAATTCACACTTTCTTTCATTTACTTTTAAGCCGCCGGTGTTCCTCAAGGTAGTATCCTAGGTACTAGGTAGGTAGTATCCAATACTGTCATCACCTCCTATGCCGATGACACGTGTATCCTATCAGTTAAAAACGATCCATCTATTGCATCCCAAACTCTTCAATCACACATCACAAGTCTTGAAAAATGGTGTTAAAACTGGAGGATCAAAATAAATTCCAATAAATCGCATCAAATTACCTTCACTCTTCGTCATAAACCTATGACTTCCTGTCCTACAGTATCCTTCAACAATAGCCCTCTTATCCCTGTCGAACAAATCCGATACTTAGGACTCCACCTTGACAAACGACTCACTTGGATCCCCCATACCAGACTGAAACGACTAGAAACCGCTCGACATTTTCGACTACTACAGCACTTAATAGACAAACGCTCTAAGCTTTCAATCAATTGCAAACGACTCATATATATGACAATAATAAGACCTATTGGACTCACGGAATTGAGCTTTGGGGCTCCACTAAACCATCGAATTCCTCTCGTATCCAATCCTTACAATCCAAAATCCTTCGTAAAATCCTCAACGCTTCTTACTTTGTCACAAATAAAATCATCCATAAAGACCTTAATGTTCCACATGTTTCCGATTTGGCCCAATCCAGATATCTATCCTTCCATAATAAACTGCAGAACCATCCGAATCCTCTCGTTTCAAACCTTGCTTCTTCCTCGATCCCTGATAACCCTCCGAGGCCTCTGAAAAGAAGATGGCCCCGGGACCTTCTAATATAGAACTTTAATTTGAGTTCTACTAATGTGTAGTTTCTCTTGTTCTCATGTTGTACATGTCATGTTACCAATGTCACATTTACTTATTGTATTTTCTATGTAATACAGTTGCACTAGCGGATCCAGGATTTAATTTTGGGGGGCTTCAGTCCGAAAGCTGTTTTTTTCATAAAAATAACGATAATTACTTTGGAAAAAAAGAAAGAAACTAACTACCTGTATGAAATGGTGTCTAAGTGATTCCTAAAGCCCTTTTAAATGTAATTGCTCAAACATTAACTTTAAGAGATACTTTTTAAATATTTTTTACGATAAAACATGGCTATATTTTACCATTTTGGGGGGGGGGCTTCAGCCCGAAAGCGTCCCCCCCAGTAGATCCGCCCGTGTACAGTTGTAAACTTCATTACAAAACACAAAAAACTTTTAAGCCTGCGTCATTTAAGCGTCTAAATATTTCGGTTACAGTAGAAATGTGATCTTCATCTGTTATACCTGTACAATAAATATTATCAATGTAAACTTCAGTGTAAGGAATTCCCTTAAGTATTTCCATTAAAATTTCCAGACATTCTCCAGTTTGGTATATTGAAATAGACCTTCATCTTTAATAATCGTTAGTGCTTCTTTGGAACTTTCATCAACTCTAAATTGCATGAATGAATGTGCTTAATCAATCTGGGACTATTTACTACCTACTTAAAATTTACTAAAACCTCTTCTTTGATTGGCAAAGATTGACGCTTGATGATTAAATGTGGATTGACGGTTAATTTAAAGTTAACTTCCCCATTGGATTTCAGAACAGATACTATAGGTGTCGCCCAACTACTAACCGTCACAGGCTCTAGATTACCAACGGAAATTAATCTTTTTATTTCTCTTTTTACCTAGTATAGTGCAAGTAGACACCGGATCATATGTAACAGTGATATCAAAAGAGTCGAAAAATCGATATTTTTTAGATACAGCAATGGTCGAACCTGACTTAACCTTAGAGACATATGGTAAAAACGATTTGAAATCTATAGGGATGCTAACAAATTTGAAATTTTCATTTAATGATAAAGAAGTAAATGATGTACGTTTTACACCCACGAAGTATCTTTCTTCATTACTTTTATCTTCGTCCCCAAATGTTAGGTATTTGAATATATATATATATATATATATATATATATATATATATATATATATATATATATATATATATATATATTTAATATAATTCTTTATTGAGATATATTACAATCTGTCAAACTCGAGGACAATGGTAATAGTGATAAAGAGTAGCTCATTCATACTATGCATAATAAATAAAAGTAATAAACAGCAATAAAATAATACTAAACGTAAATGTATATAAACCTAAAGATACTAAACTAAATAAAAATAAACTAATCTAACAAAATAAATACTTAAAAAACATACATTCTTTTATACAATATTTACAACATTTATTCACTCAAGATCTCCGAGCCAAGCCTTTTCCCACACTCGTGGAGGGAAAGGCAGAACTCTAGGAGATTCCAGCGTCTTTCACTCAGCCGCATCACTGGTATTACCAATGGAGGCTGAGCAGAGACACTGTGACCAGACATACATGGCTTGAGTGGAGAATCTGGCCATTGCCAGAACTCCCATATATTCTTACAACAAGTCTCTGGGCCACTGCCGCTTCAACCTTCGAGGAGGATTGTAAGGATGGGTGGTGCTGGACAGAGATTGTGCAAGGGGATTTGGATGATAGGTAAGGTTCTGGTGAAATTTGGAGAATTATTCTGGGATAAGGTCTAGAACAAATGGGATATTAAGATCATGGTTTAGGGTTTTGTTAGTTAAATAGAACGGAGCATCAACTATTGTTCGAAGGACTTTAGATTGAAAGGATTGCATGCGTTTGATGTTAAAAAATTTTGCTGTCCCCCACAGTTCAAGTCCGTATGTCCATATAGGTTTCAGGATTTTCTTGTAAATAAGTAATTTGTTATTTGAATATTAAAACACAAAACTACGCTATTAGTAATCACAACTCTTTTATTCATCATAAAAGATAACACTGTTAGGTTAATACAAATAAATCACTAATTATTATAATCGATATATCACACTATGGGTAGCATCAGACATGTTTGTTGCGGCCATGCGTTGAATCGTTGACTTGGCATATCCACGTACAAATATTGTACGTGGATATGCCAAGTGAAAAATATTGTAGTATCTTCGTATGTGGTCGTTAACTGATAGCATCTGCAGGTCTTTATGTATTGTAATGTTGCTGACGTACCATGGAGGCTATTTCTGTGAAGTTAAGGTCCAAATGGGCTTATGTAGTTAAGCGTACGTATTAAATTTTAATTTCGAATGTCTTGAATGGAGTGAGTATAACAGAATATAATATTCTGATATAGATAATTAAATGTTTGTTTTTAGATTTATTTCATGGCAAATTCCAAGAGGTTTGACCTGTATTTTTCCGATTCACACTATTTTATGTTTGTTAGCTAAATCTATTTCACAAACGTTTTAAATATATTTTTTTAGGATAGATTACTTTTTTTAATATATATTTGTATTGGGACAAGTATTGGGATGGGTGACCTCACGAATCGGGTGACGGTCCATCGTAAAAATCATGCTGCTGGAGATCCTTTTCCGGTATTTGGTCCCCTCAATCTGCTGGAGGTAACTTATAATGACCGGATATAAAAGTAATAATCATATCCTGCGTAGTTTAATCGGAAATCGTGAAGTGGTTTTCCAGGATTTCAGTTGCCATCCAGAGATTTGGTTCATGGACGGTCTGTTTCAGGTCCTTGATATCGTTGAACTCGAGTGGGTTGGTAAAAAAAAAATAAGGTTGGTCCCCTGTGAAGTCTAAATCAAGTCTACATCGTCTATAGCGCCACCGAAAAAAAAAACATACAATACAAAATAATAAAAATATAATATTTTTAGGCTGAAATATTTTATATCCGAAAGTATATTCTTCTATATAAAGAAGAATTATTAATATGAAAGCAATAATCTGCAGTGGCCTTGTTTGATATTTACTGTTTGCAAGGTTTTCTTAAATTATATGCACGCATTGTTATAATGAAATAACAGTACACGTGTCTGGTGGGCTGAAGTATGTGACTGTTATTGTAATGATTATTTTGACGTAGTTGATCATATAATTCTGTCAAGATCTGTTGTTTGTATCATTCATTTGCGTAATTAAGAACGAATTTTTTTTTTTGCTTCCTCATTACCGAAGCTTTGTACACACGTTTTACATTTAAGACATCAAGGATCAAATTTGGTTCGGGGTCTATCTGTATGTAGCCAAATCGATGTAACGGGCATATCACCTACTACCGTTTATTCGATTTTCATGAAATTGTGCTTGTTGGCATATAGATGGACCCATACCAATTTTATCAAAATCCATTCAGCACTTCCATTTGCGCATGCGTAAATGTATATTTTTGGATATGCCAGTATTTTAGAAACGGCGTGTTCAATTTCGCTCGAAGTTGAAAAAAAAAAAAGTTGGTATTAATATAGAAATAATGTAGTATCTATTCCATCTTCTACTTTCTCTTATATATGTGCAAATGTGTTTTCCTTGATATGTCTGTAACTCTAAAACCGCAAGTTCAATTTAGCCGACATTTGGAGTGAAGCTAGAGATTGATAAACAGATAACCAAGAATGCATCAATTTTATCAAATTCTATCCACTACCTCCAAAAAAATACATCCGCTTTCAGATCGGAAAATGTATTATTTGACACGCCTATAGATTGAAAACGATTGGTTCGAATTGACCCAAACAGGAAATTTGGAGAATAGTATAGAAATTACCCAATATTAATTTCATTTAATTCCATTGAATAATTAAAATCAATATAAATAATTGTTAACAATATAATGGCTGTGAAAGGTGGAAGCCTTTATCATATGGAGTGGGAGTTTATTAAAATATTGTTATGGGGTTATAAAGATTTTATTTAAAAAAAAATAATTTATACTGTATTGTTTGGTCGATTACAAATGTTACTAAATTAAAATTAGTGTGACAACGTTTGACTTATCTATGGCAGGCAATGAAAACCTCGTAATTTCATTTTAGTAAACTTTACAATGGAAAATAACATTTTGATAACTAACAGACGCACAATCCATAATCAGTTATAGGTTGAATATAGCGGTATAGTTTTAAGCTTTAAGTTCAAATACTATTATACATAACGACTTAAACACCCCAACAGTAAAATCCTACATCCACGACAAATACAGTACATTTCACTCTTCAACCCAAAATCACTCCAATCCTCTGGTTCTTTCTATCTCCTGTTCCCTGTTATATCAACAACGCAGATTAAAAATAAATTGGTCAAGAGACCTACTATACCAATAAAAACCAAATCAAGCAAATACACAAAGACAATGCAGACACAACAAATTTGCTAGTTGCGCAGTCGCGGAGGTGCAAATTGCATAAAATATAAATAAATAAAGTTATAGCTCCGTCAAATATTCTTATATAAAAATATTATATATCTGGTATAAACTTGTTGTCCTAGCATTTGCGGAGAGTATGCGATCACTTATAACTCATGAAAATGAAAATATTTTTAGAATTTATTAAATATGATGTTATATTTTTAACAATCATCAGTAGTATTTTTTAATTATTATCTCCATCCAATTAAATTCAACTTCGTGTATAAGATACTAGTGAGAGCGTAGAGGAGGTTAGAAAGGTGTGAGGTAAATAATCCTTCACCGCCCAATTCGGAGCACGTAGTCCAATTAAAGGAAGAGTTGATGAAGACAAATCCTTCACAGTCCTTAACCGACGAACGGTGTCTGTCTTCAAAGGATTAATCCTTTTCTGTTCGCGAAGGATTAAAGCTTCATCAGGTCGAAATTATGAGGGATCCTAGTATATATATATAAAAAAAAGAAGATTTCAGGAAGGTATATATATATATATATATATATATATATATATATACCTTCCTGAAAGGTATATATATATATATATTTCAGGAAGGTATATATATATATATATACCTTCCTGAAATCTTCTTTGACGCTAGGAGACACATGGCCTCTTCCCGAACCCATACTATACAAAAAATACAAGAAGGAGTTGAAGGAATTCATTAATAGCATAAATTTATAAGATATTCCAGCATAGCTCTTTTATTTAATATACTTCTAAAGTTAGACTTATGTATGTTATTCTTTATTTTGTTGATACTCAATTGTAAATTTGTAACATTTGTTTATTCTCCGCATAATTTTTGTATTTGATTCTGCCTCTGTTTTAGAGTATTTTGTCTTAGTATATTCTGGTACTGTTCATTCATCTGATACTGTTATTTACTTTATTTAATCGTTTATTGTTATTTATTTTATTTAAACATCTATAAATATTCTCCTTGTAATACATATTAAGTACCATTCTTTTTAAATATCTTTAGCCAACACTTATTGTAATAAGTTATATTTATAGTTATATACTAAATAACACTGTAATGCATATAATATGCTTTTGCATGGTGTATGCACACTTCTAAAAAATATACGCCTCTTCTGTAGGTTTACTACAGCAGAGAAAAAAAAAAAAAAAAAAAAAAAAAAAAAAAAAAAAAAAAAATATACATATATATATATATATATATATATATATATATATATATATATATATACACATACATACTATATATAGAGCTTTTGACACCGTTGTAATTTTCCATACTGTGCTAGCTTAGACACAAGAAATACTTACAAAAGATTCAAGTCTTTACTTCTCTGAGTCACTAAAAATAAATACATATTGCCTTGGTCTATTTGAAAAAAACGTTTCATATGAAGGATTTCATTGTATGGTAAACCATGATAAGGCCCAATCTGGATTGGGCTGAATGGGAAACCAATAGAAATCTAAGGCCCATATGGATAATTTAATTTGTAAAAAATTAAGGAAATTGAGGATTTCACATTACAAG